TGCTTCACAGGATGAAGGTTGTCGAGATTTTTTAAGGATGTAATCTACGTGACCACAATAAAATAAAAACTGTACACCCAGTGTCACCAAAAGGGTTTTTAAATGAATAGACATATTCAGTAGTAATAACTAAGTGAAGGAGATGCTCTTCCGTACACCTTAAACGTTTGGTGGGTACTAAAGGACGTCAGTGTACTCTACGTTATGTAATCTACGTGACCTCATTTCCAAAGGAGCATCATCTTTTTCGCGGTATGTACACAAAAGTTATGTACCTTTGGCACTGACCGTCCACTGGTTCCAGAAGTAATATTGCCGCAGTCATCCAAGCACCAAACGCAAACGCATGACGGACATTTTGTTCAGTGGCGTGATTGAAATGTGGACGATTGTCCAGTGACACTTTACAGTTCACCACACACTATCAGGACTACTCAGCTAAGGCAGTTTTATGGATCTAAAGTTATGGCATGAACTCTTCTACACATTATTGATTATTTACTTTTAATTGGCTTATCTTTGTTGATATTCTACCTCAAACTAAACAGGTGACGTGACAACAGCTTGGATGATTTTTCACTGTACTTCTGTACTGTCTGTACTTTAAATGATTAATGAAACTAAGAAACAGTTAATGTCTTTTGTATCTTTTAACGTAACTCTGTGTAATGGTAAAGCAACATTTCACTAGCATCTTTTCTAAATGTCTTTAGAGCGCGCTTCCTTTGTCTTCGACCATACTATAACCATCCGATGTGGCGGTTACAACCCGGACGGAACTACTTTCTCAAATGAAAAGAACAATTTCGACTATAATTACTTTTTATTACTTTTTAATGACAACAGACACTGAAATCGCGACGAATTCCAATACCACGTTTCTGATCCTCCTTTCATTACACTGTCCAATATATTTCGCAGTTCGAGAAAAAAACGTTATCCGACAGGAATTTCAAATCCCGCCCACACTTCGTCAAATGCATGTTCAATAACAGCACTAACTGCCGGAGAGTTTTCGGATTATATTCAGATTCATTGCTTTTGCGCACCTCGCATACAAAACGACACAGAGAGTAATTAAGTTCATCGTCGTTTAGATCCTCGAGTTTGTGAGCTATTAAACTTAAACGCTGACCGGATGTTTCCCTCGTAAAATTCTCTGATTACGTGAATTTCAAAAAGACCACAGGCCCAACGTAAATTCTGTTTGGTATTTTGAGGCACACTTGTCTCGCATAATCCTGCAATTTCAGAAACCAACAACGGTACAGAAAATCTTTCATGATAACTATGCTTCCCACTACCGCCGCCAAACACATTCTCACTCACGTGGACTTCTTCCTCCACGTCACTAATATCGCTGTAATGTTGCTGAAGAAGATCCCTTTCCTCCGCAGTTTCCAGTGCTGTGCATAGAATTTCATCATCTTCAGAGTTTTCACTTATTGTCAAAAACTCACACTGTGAAGCTGGAATCAACGTATCGTCGCTGTCGGTCCCACTCATACCTGCTGTGTAACAAAAAGACATGTGCGCGGAGACCATGTGTTTGTAAAGGTGAGATTTCCGAAAAGCACGTGCTTTACGTCCTCGGTTCATTAACCATCCTTGATGAGGGCCCGGAATGAAATCCTATGTACCCCTGAAGCTGATTAATCAAAGAGCATCGGGCCGCTTTCTCAAGAAGACCTTCGATAACTGGTAAAGACATATTAGCGTTGATTTAACGACGATAGCGACTGTACGTGCCTTTAGGTAGAATACAGCATATAACACACATTAGCACGCGCCGTACATGACATAAGTCGACCGTACCACAAATCTTGCTTTGCGCTTAAAAACTATAGTCCATTCATTAAATTACAGACGCGTACCAAATAAATATTATTCTTTTATTTTATTAAAAGCAATATTTGTGTGCATGTAGTTAGAGGACTCGGACGCGTTCGGTTAGAAGAGCCGGTTCCGCGCCCTCGGCTCTAACCGCCTTAATCCATGGTTACAGAACGCGTGGAGTCTTCTAAGGCTATACATATATAGATAGAGTGTTATCGTAATGTGATTACAAGATTTGCATTCAAGTTGTGTAACCAAGTTTTGTTGTTTATCATACTATTATACAGATCTTTGTGAAATATATTTACAGTAACACATTTGATGATCAATTTATGCAAATTAGTTTACCCAATCATGATTGGTCATCTTTGTTTTCTCCTTGACGTCTGACTTTTGATCATTTGAATTTTGTGAACAATAAATGATGTTCTAAAATAGAATAACTCATGAGAATTGTATCAAACTGTTTGACAGGGGAAAGAAATGTTATGTGTCAACTACATTCCAGATGACAAGTAATAATTACACTTGACTTTAATCAATCAATGATTTCAGTAAATTTATAAAGATGTAAAATAAATAAAACATAATACCTCCCGTCATGACAGAGCCTGTTTTGTTTCCACTATGCAGACAGGGTGGGTGTGTATCTGTAGAATATTTTTAGAGAGTTTGAATTCAACTCTTTTAGCAGGGTGGAGGGTTGTCTGCAGGTCTTCCCTGTTGGAATCTGGTGTTTGGTAATCAATGCTTGGGTTATGTGTCATGATATTTATCAATAAACTTGAAATATAGGTGTGTTTAGTCAATCAAGGTCATCAACTGTACACATTTGCACTGGGGTAGGGAGTCCTCACCAACATTCGTCTGCCATCACATTAAGTTTAAGCCGCTGAACATAGACAAGCATGTTCAAAGTGAACATGTCACAGTGGACATTTTCTGTGTAGTCCATGTATCCACATCCATCAAAATGTTGGTGAGAGCTACTCATGTGTGTTAGAAATGTCAGAGCATCAGCTGACCATGTATTAGCTGACCTTTGTTACTTTCCCCATACAATGTCAAAAGAAATATGTTTTTTCTTAAAGGTGTTTTATCATCAAAATACAGAGCAGCTTTGTCTTCCAGTGGGACAGGCTACAAGAATACTATGTTAAATATTATAATATGTAGTACCGAAGTCATTAAGTTGGTTCATACACATATCTTTATGTCTGTTGAAAGAATCTTTACAACGATCAACCAAACCATGTACAAACACTCACGTGTTATATAAACTCGTAAAGCCAACAAAAGGCAACGTTTGTGGCGTCATTGACTTCAAAAGCATATGATTGTACCAATAGAGATGTTCTCTGGGACAAGGTTGCAGCTGTCGGTGTAGGTGGAAATATGTTAAGTGCCCTACAACCCTTGTGCAAGGACGTTCAGTGCTGTGTGAGACTACATGGGTATCCAACGCCTTGGTTTGGGGGTGAATCGAGGATTGAAACAAGGTTGCTTACTCTTCCCCGTGCTTTTAACTTTATTTATCAAAAACTTCAATCTTTATTTATTCATACTGAAAGGCCACAGACCTGTAGTACATTAATTAGTCATGTGTGGGTAGTAGAACATTCTTTCTGAGAATAAAAGCTTTGTGAATATCTATGAACAATCTTTCTAAATGTGTTTTACTCGAATTATTCATCAATGATATAAACTTATGAGTTACAGGATGTACATAATAATATTTCTTTATATATCTATTTCTTAACGATAAATATGCTGGGCAAACACGTAAAGTGAAATTCATCTTCTATCTCGTTTAAGTTGCACATTTGACAGATTCTATTTTCTTTCTTAATTCCTTGGTATCTCCCAGTTTCAACCTTTAAATCATGCGCAGAGCAGAGGAATCTCGCCAGTGAAGATTTATATTTCCTTATGGTCAAATCTGAAAGATACTGTCCTGTATATATGGAATCTTTTATCATTTTGTAGTAAAATCATTTATTAGATAATAAGAGACTAGCTGACCAATTTTGAAGGAATATATCTTCAAGTCTTTGTTTAACTAAGCAGACAAAATGAGAATGAGATTCTACAATTTGTTCATGCCAGGCATCGCCGAAGCCGATAGATAATAGCAAGTGTTTTATATTTGTTACCGTTTTCCATGGCTATCATATAATATCATCATATCATAACATTTTCTTGGCAATCTGTGTGATCTGTGTAAAAATTTTAACCAGTATCTAATAAGTTTTACATTTGATTCTACGTACAATGGATATCATCCACATTCTCCGTCAACTATACAAGTTGAGGTGGCTGTTTTCACGCCCAGAAGTTTCCTGCATGCATACAAATGGACTGTTTCTATAACATCATACGTTTTAAAACCCCATACTTCTGCACCATATAGCAAAATTGGATATATTTTAGCGTCAAATGTATGAAAAATAGTCTAAGACAAGTCGCCTAAAATATGTATATATTGTGTTATACCTATTAATATTTTCTTTGCTTGTATAGATGCCTATGATGTGTATACTGCCCATGAAAGAGGATTGGTAAAATGCACAGCATAGTATAAAATTGTAGAAGTTGTCAGTGGTTATACCTGCCTTGGGTTCCTTTTAACGGAAAAGTTAGATTTTAAGGCAATGACAGGTGCAGCGGCCAAATCTGCTAACAGGGCACTCGGGTTGCTTATATCAAGGTTTCAGTTATTGGGTGGCATGCACTATTATACATATACATATCCTCTAGCTTTGCCTTTGGCGACATGCCCTGTTTATGCCGAATCTAATCACCTAATCGTCTACCGTTTTCCAATATTTCTGCAGTTTCTCTCTCACATGTGTCCAATTCTCTGGTTGAATTCTAAAACGCAAATGTAGAAAACGAAAGCAATATCCATGAGGCCATATACTTTTCGATTAACCCTTATACGTGCACATGGATAGGGTTCAGTTTTAAGCATCTTCATAAATCGTGGCGAGCTGTAACCAACACGATATAAACAAACAACAGTTTTCAGGCGTGAATAATACTTGTCTCCAAAAGAAATTCTAGTGTTTGAATCGTCGTAATTTCGTCTTTGGATGCAAAACCGCATTTCATAGAGGTTACATGCTAAGCACTAACACACGTTTTTTTTCTATTAATTTTGAAAGACCCTGCAAGAAAACAAGCCCACCGTGAACGTGGAAATCATGGCTAATACTGGTAGTCATGCCCGAACTGATCACAACAATCCAACGTCTGTTGAGTACCACTACATTGACGACATCCCCGACTCCGCCTATCAACAGGCGATGGAAGAAAACCAACTGGAAGCCGAAAATGATTATGAATGTATTGCTGAAACCAATCCTGGTTATGATTACATTGAACCAATAAACGATCCACGTACGGTAAGAGTTGAAGTTCTGTTTTTAGGTCAATAGGTCTCAACATTACTCTTGATACATAACAATCTTATGAATACCAAAATACGAAAAACTTTACCGGTAGTTCTTTTGTTTTTGTTTTAAAACATATTTTATTAATGAGAAAATGACTGGGTACAAGTTGTACAACTTAGAACACCCTTTCCGTAGTATTTACATAAATACTATTTACATTCTTTATACAAGGTGGACAGAAAAGAACAGAAAGATGGGAAACAATGGAACAACTGCAATAATTAAAAGAATCTTTTTGATTGACAAATATATGTTTGAACAATTGTAAATATGTTTTGATTTATGCGAAGTCAAATCTGCATTGCCATATAATAGTAACTCATAATTTATATTCATATTGGTAACACTGCGTAGATTAAACATCATGTTCTCTGTCCAGTATATAATTGACACTCAAATAGGTAATGATAAGAATTTTCACAAAGATTTCCACAAGAACAACTTGGGTTATCTTTTATACCAACACGGAATAGATCATAATTCAATTGGCTACCCATGTAACGTAGTTTTGTAAGGATGGTATTTGGGTTTCTCGGTCCAAAATCAAAAGATTGAGGAGCAGTTTTATGTTTTATAACAATATTAGATTTGAAACTACTACGCAATGAACTTCACATTGTTTTTAAACAACCACTACTTGTGATCGTGACCAATGGCCACAATCGCTATTTTGATCTGCAATGCTGACGGGTTCTCTTTGAACTGTCGTACATGCTGTTTCATTCTAAAGTTCACTTCCTTAACCAAAATTAACATAACTCATGACCAAAATATTATGCATATTTTCATGATACCAATTTCAGTTATAAAATTGAAATGCAACTGAATCATAGCGTCCTGATGACCTCGTTTTTTTTCTTGTTTCAGTTTTCGGAAAGGAAGTGTAAGAGGGGTATTGTTTTTCTCGTACCCATATTTGCTGGCGTAGTAGTGAACTTCATAGCTGGGCTCTTCTTTACGACCTTTCCGCTGCAGTTCACCAGTAAAGTTGGAGGGATGGTATTCATAGTGGTTAACGCGCTGGCAGGTATAATGTGTTGGAGATATGTGATTATAGTTTGTGCTTCTTTTTCAATAATTATTGTTCATCAATAGATCAGCGAGCGAAATAGACATGGGAAAGCGAGCCACCGCTTTAAACACTGTAGCCAGAACTGGAATGATCCATCTAAGCTTAATGCACCATGACCATCAACGTCATTTCTGTCTGTTGTGCCAGTAATTGTAAAGGAAAAATGTGTTTCCAGATAGAAACTAAATATTTCATATTTCGCTTTCAGTCACGCGGAGGAACCTGTCTCTAGTATGTTGTGTATTTCAGCTGCCTTCTGTGCCCCGCTTATGATCAGATACGGCTTCCGCAAGGTCGCTTTCGGCGGAAGTGTTCTACTCATCTTATCCTGTATCTCGTCGTCATTGACAACCAGAGATGACATTAAGATAGTCACCACATTCATCATCATGAAAGGTCTGTTTTTAATCGATTTTCAAGTGAAACCTTCTATCTATTGTGGGCGTAATAATAGGCATATTGAAGGTCTACTGAATCTAATGAATATGAGTGTTGTCAAAGGAGTAGTATTTGGAAATGATGACGGAGCTTAGTATACATTTGTGTTGTGTATGTAAAAGATTAGTTGGATGACTCGCTCACTTAATATGAAGTTTTCTATCATCATACTACCAGTGAAGATCCGGATCTTCAGTAACCCATGCTTGTCGTAAGAGGCGACTAACGGGATCGAATGGTCAAGGTCGCTGACTTTGGTTGCCACATGTCATTGTATCCCAATTGCGTAGAACGATGCTCATGCTGATGATCACTGGATTGTCTGGTTCAGACTCGATTATATACATACCGTCGCCATATAGCAGGAATATTGCTGAGTGCGGCGTTAAACAACAAACCAACAACCAACCTCTTCATCATACAGCTTCTAAATGCCACTAAAAGAAGTTGTACTCAACATGCATCCATCCACTTACATTCCTACTATCCTCCTTCTACAAAAGCAGTTCATAATAAGGGTTATATATTGATATGAAGCTTCTGTATACTATTGCTTGACCTTGATAAACGCCTTTCTACTTCGTTGCTAGGTTTTTCTGTTGGTCTTCTTCGATCTACTGGAGTCGTGGCAACAGTCGACTATCTCAACACTCGCCCAACTCTCGCAATTATCATCAGCTACTTTAGCTTCATCATCGGGATGTTTGGTTATCTATTCAACTTCATTCGCTCCCCAATAGGGCTTGAGATACCTGCTATATTGGGACTTGTGGCTGCTTTGTTTCTACAAAAGAACTCACAGACCCATCAGAATGTGACCAAGCTCTTCAAACATCCACCGTTTTATGTCCTCGCATCGATAACAGTTGTCTTTCTATGGGTAGGTATTTTAGAGGTTGTTAATTGAAGATGATACAAAACTTGAATCAATGAGCTGTGATGACCCAGCGGTCAGAGGAACCTTGAATTGATCGATCTGCGAATAGTTTGAAATCACATTTTAAACCTTCACAAAATGCCTGATCTTGACATGTCCCTTTGCAAATGTGATAATGGAAAAACTATGATTCATACAAGAAAATAATATTTGTACTCTTTTTAAAGACGATGTTTGGTATCACTTTCCAAACTTTTGCGAAAATGGTGTGCCCTCAATCTTAACAACGGGTCAGGGGCTTTGGGGTAGCCCAGTGGTTAAATCTCTCATCACAGGGTTCGATTCCCCCCATGGGTTCAATGCGTGAAATCCATTTCTGGTGTCCCCCGCCGTGATATTGCTAGAATATTACTAAAAGCGGCGTAAAAACATACTCATTCTCACTCATAGACACATGATTATGATATAACCGGAATCGTACAATAGGTTCAGAAGCAATCAATTCCCATGTCGTATTGGCCAATACTTGTGTTGGTCTTATATTTTTTACAATTGTGAGTTAAATGTATGTGTTTTTCTATGCCAGATTACAAGACTCATGTATGTATTTATGTCTGACAGGATTCGCAAGCATTGTAAAACCAGTCCTCATCATAGTACACTCTGGAAGAATGTGGTCGGGCTTTACGATCAGCGCCTGTTACGGCACTCAGGTCATTGTGCTGATTGTTCTGTTGGTCATCCGAAACTTCCTGACACAGTGTCTCAAAAGGTCAGCTCTCTTATCCATGGGGCTATCGGCCGTAGGTGTTGGCGTCGTTACCACTGCCCACAAGGTGACTCATCCTGGTTTTTGGGGTGTCGGGATTGGATTTGCCTTTGGTGAGTAAACTAATGAATCTACTCTACGCACTCCGCAGTACTCCATAGTTCTGGAGACTGACTATTTAATCATCTTAGAGAGGGAGGGTGCTTGCAATATATATTATGCCTCAGACTTTTGAAAATCAATTAAATTCTCTGGCACATTTACGGTCAATCCTTTAAATAAAACATGAAAAATAATAATATTACACTAAAATGTGGTGTACGTCGCCGTAATTCGTTTTGAGAAGTTGCGAAAAGGCTGGATGCGTCAACTCACTACCCTCGGGGGAAGAATTCACCGGGATGATAAACTTCGAAGACCTGCATCACTTCTTCCTTTCCTTCCACAATGAGCAGATGATCATGATGTTAATCACCGGATTGTCTGGTCCCGACTCTATTATTTTCAGACCGCCGCCATACAGCTGGAAAATTGCTGAGTGCGGCGTTAGACAACACACAGACGCAGGCACCCCCACCCACCCACCCACGCATCCACCCACCCACACATCCATCCAACCACCCACCCACCCACCCACCCACGCATCCACCCGCACATATTCACACACTCACACTGAAGTTCCAGATCTGTGCTGGCAATGTTATGCAGTTATCTGTTTTGTCCGAAAGAGACAACTGAATGCTTAAAGACTTGAATTCTTGTTCCAGTGCTCTCCCAAGTAATGTTGCCAACAGCGTTGATCAGCACTACTGAAAGAAACAGCCTGAAACTGGCCCTCCCACTCTTGAGCTTCTTTCAGTTGACGGGATTAGTTGGCGGTGTCATTATTGGTGGGTAGCGTCCTGTGTTTCTATAGTTTGATGGAAGCTTTGTTTGTGTTTTTATTTAACGCCGCACTCAGCAATATTCCAGCTATATGGCGTTTGTCTGTGAATATTTGAGTCTGGACCAGACAATCCAGGGATCAACAGCATGAACATCGATCTACGCAATTAGGATATGATGACAGACAGATGACCACCCAATCCCGTTAGTCGCCTCTTGCGACGAGCATGAGTCACTGAAGACCAATTCTAACACGAATCTTCACGGGTCTCCAGCCATATGATGTCGGTCTGTAAAAAATCGAGGCTAGACCCGACCATCCTGTCACTGACATCATGAGCATCAATCCAAGCATCAACCACATCTTAGTCGCCTCTTAGGATACTCATAGGTTTCTGAATGTCAATTCTATCCCGGTCTTCGGGGTCAGTAGACCTGTAAAGCAGGGATCCTTGTCAAACTGACAAGATGAACATGAATGCATGTTGTTCACTGGTCCCTCGGGACCTTGGGCTGATGTACCCTCGATGTTTGTAAACTTATGTTCCCTGAGCCCTGATGTACCCTTGATGTTTGGTTATGTTCCCTGAGCCCGAAGGACGAGGGGGACATAAAGAAACATAGAGGGTTTATCAACTCATGGGACCAGTGAACAACGTATTTATCTTACAAGGCCGGGTGGGACAACTTAGGAATGGCCAGCGAGTCCTAACTTGACACACAGAAGGAAGCGAGCTACAAAGACATAATTTATATCATTGGAAAGATCTCGAGGAGATGAACCCAAAAAGTTCATGTGCCAGTGCGCTTACGTGTTCATAAGCTCACAAATGGGCTCTGAAAATGCATTTCTGCAAAAATTACTGGCAGAATTATTTTTTTCCGAAGAAATTTCTGGCAGATTTTTTTTTTACCGCAGAAATTTCTGGCAGAATTTTTTCCCGCAGAAATTTTCATTTCACTACCAGAATTGTCTTAATTGAAAATGATTAGACACCATCTTTGGATAATTCAATATGGACTTTCTTCAAATGATGTTTTCTCCTGTAAACAACTTCAAGTGGGAGGGGATAATGGTTCCCAGAAGTAGATCGCCGCACAAATCTTACAAGGCATATTTTAACATCTTATCAAGACGAAATAAAAATAAAAATAATTTGATGATCTCTTTATACATCGTTTATTCACACTCTGTATTACATGAGTTTCATTGCGCTAAGTTGCAGTCATTTCATCTCTGACATGAGTCCCGTTGTCTGGTTTATGTTTATCTATTGTTTGTATAGTCACTCGAACTGTAAAATGGAACACTGAATTGTATATGGCAGATGTGTAGTCTTGAAACCACAATGAAGCTGTTTTTCAAACAGTCTTGCAATAATCGAATCAGGATTAGGTGTCTTCTCCTTAAGACGACATTTGGTATTACAGTGAAAATCCTTTGATGTTTCGCCGAGGTAGACTCATGTTGTTTTAATGGATTAGTGAGGTGGGTTATACTATAAACTGAACTGCATAACGAAATCGGTGTTCATTTTCATGATATCAACTCACATTGTAATATGAACATGATATCAACTCACTGGTTGTTGATTTCCATTGGTATCAACTCACTGCTTATTGACTGACATTGATTGATTTCAGCTCACTGCTTATTGACTGACATTGATTGATTTCAACTCACGACTAACTGATTGCCTTTGACACTGATTTTAAATCACTAATTATTTGTTTGCTTATTGATTGACATTGATTTATTTCAACTCACTACTACTGATTGCCTTTGACACTGATTTTAATTCACTATATTATTTGTTGATATTTACTCACTAGTTATTATGGGTATATATCCTGCTTATCCGCAATCCAATGCATCACTTTCGAAATGGCACATCAGCAGTTAGAGTGCAAGTTCATTCCAACTTCACGTGGAGGAAGGTGTCTCTGTATAGATAGGATACATGTTTAGAGTGAGCCGCAAACACAATGCTGCATCGCGGATATCATGGATGTGCCTAGATAAGAACTGCACTTAAACTATTTCTACAGTTGAATGATGACATTCAAATGTATATAAATTATTTGTTATCGATAAACTTGTCACGGATAAAAATGTCATATGTATTTTAAGGGGTGTAAATAATGGTTCGTGGGAGTATTTCATTTATTTACCGGTTAACAATTTAGTATCATCCATCTGCTTAAAATCACACAGAACCTCCGTTGTTCTCCAGAGGCAGTCGACTTGAAAATCCTTGCATGCTCCACTGATTTGTTGTTTTAAACATCACAGTTGTCGACTTCCCGGGAATGAACTAACAGAACGAATCTTCCATAGGTAGTAGGCAAGTGGTGAGTGTTTAGGTCAAGGGTTCTGATTACAATATTATAATGTTGTGAACTGATACAGGGATGCATGTAAATACATATTGTATAAAACTTGAAATGTTTCCTTTCTTCAAATCCTGCATTATGTTGTGTAATAACGTAATGCGGGTAGAAAACATGTGTTCTAGACAGCAGTAATAAACGATCCCGACAAATACCATCCTGTGTAAATACTGGTAATGGCTAATTATTTGGGAGAGTGTGTATTTGACCGTCCTTTCACCTGTATCAGATGATTTATGAGACACCTGCGTGTGGGCCACTTCTTGTTTATTCTAGGTAATTAGCAATCAGTGTGATCAACTGATCTGGATCTAATCTTGTTGGGTTTGGGGTATTTGCATCAGAATGACAATAACTGATTCATGATCAGGAAACTAAAACTATATACACTTCTGTTATTACCTCAAAGACCGGTTTGAGGAATTTAAGCAATTCATATCATCATGACATTAGATGTTTTGGTTCAGTTCTGTGTTGGACCTATTCGATACATTATGTTTCAGGTGTACGAGGTCAGATAAAGTAGGTTGTATATATATATACAAATTATACAACAACATCATGAACAGCAATTATGATTGTATGTTTCATTGGCATTCTAGCATGCGGCTTCTTAATAGCAACTTCTTGTTCTTTGCATAAAGCAACGTGTGACGAGCGCTGTGAATGTAGTGACTGACGAAGGGTACTACATACCATAGCCTACGAAGAGCTGACCAAGCTATAGACTTCAATCAGCACCCGGTTTTTATGATTGTTTTTACAACTTAATCCGTCCTGCTTATCGGCTTCATGGCTGTGCTATTTATTGTTCTTACTTCCCACTTGGCCTCGTCCAATTATCTACCCCTTGTTATTCAAGTACACGATGTTTGCCACAGCATTCGATCATTCTAATCACTTGGTTTTTGTCACCGTTAGCTTGAACATGGTGTGAGAACCTACACAGAAACGTTGCTCTTTGCAATTAACAAGAAGTTGCTATCAAAAAGACCGTATGCTTTTATTAGCAATTTTGCTGTCGCATTCCTGGGAAATTAGAGACAATTGTGAATGTCGAGTCACCACTGATTTTTTGAAATGATGTTAGTCACCCAGGGGATTCCTACAAAATATCGTGTTAAATTGTTTGAAAATATACCAGTCCTGATAATTCATTCATCCACATCTCTTGTTTACCTAACACTGCCGTTGCAATAAACAACCTATACATTGGATCAGTAAAAGAGCAAAACTTGCTTATGAAAATATCTCTTCAGGTAATGTGTTGAAACGGCTGGTTTGTGCACATAGATAGTGCTAAACATAATGTACCATTGCACAAATGAAATGCATAAAGTCAGTATTTTGAAGTCAGTGGTCCAACAAACTATAATGTCTACGTTCTATCGAAAAGGTATCAAAATTTTCTTAGATAAAATGGTGAATGAAACTTGATGAATACGTTTGGAAAGAGCTACGATATATACCTGCAAAACGCAGAGGTTGTTCGAGATTTATACAGTATTGTGATTTAAACAGTATTTTAAAAAATTTCCATTAATGTTTACATTTTTCATAATACACGACATAACAAAATGGAAATAGGATTAGCAAACAGGCCATATGGCCTATGTCAATGCTTCTCCGCATATAGTGCGTTATTATTTTGACTTAATTCTATGGAGCAGACATTAGGACATTAATGAATGAATCAAAACAAAAGAAAATAAAGAAAATAAAATAAAGAATAAGACACCAAGTGCATTTAATGTTTACAGGTTGTTACTTGAATTCCGTAAAGCGGTTAGTTTCAGTTATATAATTCTGAACGGATTTCCTGTCTAAAGGAGATAAATCGCCATTTTCACATTTTCGCTTCATGGCTGACAACGTCTATATTATATAGGATGCGGCGTTTCAGTATAGATTATTATACCGTTGTCAAGCGAGACTGAGGTGCTGTAGCAGACTTATATATACATCAACATGGATTAAGCAGTTCAAATCCGCGGACACAAGCCCTCCATCAACAGAGATGAAGGATATCTCATCCCATCTGCATACAATGAACTGATAGCAACAACTTAGCAGAGCATTCCAGCCATGTATATTTTCTACCTCTTGGACATTTGACTTCCCCCTGTTGTCACTGCTTTATTACCCTATCCTATAGTTGTTGCTGTTAATCCCTTTGATGCACGCCTACATGTTGTTTTACTTATTCCCTGTAAAGTCTGATCTGTGCAAAGAGTGGGCACCTGCTCCTTTTGATAATTATGATCACCCCCTCTCTAATAGAGTTTTGTCATTTGCAATGAATTATAGTAACCCTTATCGTAGATTACGCAGCAACATATGTTTGCTTGGACACTGAGCCGTTGCCTACCTTTTCCTGTACCACATAAAACCTGCATGGTATGCCGGTTGATATTGTTATTTGAAATCGGCAGACAATGCACACCTGTTGTTGCTGCAGGACAATGAATATTTCCGATACGACATTGTAAGTACTTGGGGGTGCAGACATATGACTTAAATATGTTTGCGCATGCTGCTTAATATCATATTTGTGTAATACCACAATATACATGGATAAACTATCAAACTATGCATCGTTTAGAAAAAAAGTATTTTGAATACATGAAAGAGAATATTTATAAAGTTATAACTTGTGAAATTTAATTGTG